CATGCCTGTGACGTGGATTGCTGCAGCCACTTCTGTAGGACAGAAGACCTACCAGGAGACTCTACCAGAAGATTCTACCAGGCTGGAGCAAAGCCAAAGTTCCCAGACAGGAAGGGAAGATGGCTTCTCTGAGTGCAGCCCTGGGCAGACCTCAAATCTTTAGCCCACAGCTTAGGGTGAGGCTGAACAGTTACGAAATGCCAGGGAATGAGAAGGCCAAGGAGTAAAAGGACATGGTCATTCCTAGAACACCAAAAGGTAAGGGCAAGTTTTCATGGTTGCTTGAGAGGTTAGGCAGCCCTCCAAATCTCTGAGCTAGAAAGAGTAGAAACCCAAACTAATAGGAATGAGAAGACTGAGAGAGCCCAGCAGCCTCTCAGGGTCCAGCACCCAGAGTCCTGCACCCAGAGTCCTGCACCCATGGAGCATAGCAACCTCCTCAGGAAGGATCTGGTGGGCCTTCAGAAGGAAGGAGGCTAAGCACACCTGGCCAAGCCCACAGGCACCTAGCACGGGTCACAAGAGACCAAAACATGGAACTAAGGTGTCCCCACCATTCTCAGCAGGCATACTAGTCCTCATCAAATTTGCTCAAGTCTCCAGGATAGAACCCTAGTCAAGCACCCAGCCCAGTGTCCGGGCCAGCCTAGAGTCCAGAACAGTACCTAGCCTGGCCTAACCCAGTGTACAGCACCCACAGCCCTGCACCCACAGGTCACAGTAGACTAAGGATAGCTTTTGACCCAATACTCTCTTCTCTCAAGTTTTGCCAGAAGTCCCACCACAAAGCAAACCTACAGTCATGGGCACGACTGCCACAGAGCTTAGGGGGACATTCACTGACCGTCCTGTCCACTCTGCATTTGGGGGACACTCATGCTCATACTTGAGTTAATTAAAGATTAAAAGCAGAGAAACCCCAACCTGAGACTCAGCAGCTAACCTGGAGAAAAAGGTAAAAACAGACTGAGTGCCTTCTGGAGTTTAGCCAGAAGGGGGTACTATGGTCACCCACCTGCCATCCAGCCAGTCATTTTTCCATCTGTGTTCTAGGATAGGCCATTTGCTTGCTTCATTTTAAGAGCATTTTGCTGCTGAAAACACTTTAAAAGTCACTGCCCTAACCCAGCCTTGGGCTAATGTCATTGAAGATCACTGGGGCCCAGATCTAATCATTCTCTCAACAAGCTTTCTCATGCCAGTGACTGGCAGGATAGAACACAGAATACTTCTCAGAGAAGGGGCAGGTGAGGAGGACAAGGTGAGCCGAGTGACATCAGGGAGAGCCACTGCGGGGTCACTGCAGGGTAGTCTGGGATAACAGTGCACTGTAGTCAGATGCAGGGGGTCTAAGGTGGGTGTGAGCAAGCCACGACGGCTGCCCTGTGAGAGACTGCAGAGGACAGGCACAGTCCAGGGTGGGGGGCAGCGAGGGCACCTCAAGGCCTGGAATCTGTGTCAAGAATCAATGTATGTGATGGGGGCGGGGAGTTACAGAAATAAAGGGTCTGACAGGAGGACATGGGGAATGGTAGATTCCAGGACTGGCAAGCCTGCAGGGCAGCTGAGGTGAGGCTGGACAGTACAGAGAGCTAAGGAAAGGTGTTACACAGATCCTAAAACCACACCCAACCACTGACTTCCCACTAGGATGACAGTCCTACTTCCTCCCACTCCAATCTATTTCTCTGGTATGTTTTAAATTCTTTCTCTCTCTCTCTCTCTCTCTCTCTCTGTGTGTGTGTGTGTGTGTGTGTGTGTGTGTGTGTGTGTGTGTGTGTGT